GCTCAAGGGTGTGTTTTTTCACACCCCATAGCGAGAAAGTTGCAGCGCTATAAAGTGGCAGTGTAGACAAGGCCTTAAGCTTTTCATTCAGGCTGAATATTGCACACATTTCTGCACAACTCACTTAACATAAGCCTTCTGGTCATCATGGAGAGACACAAAAAGAAGGTGATATACAGCATTAAATACAAACATAAAGACTTTATTGAATGCGGCTCAATCCCCCAGTGAAGATTTTATTACAAAACAGTTTTCACACAACTGCAATTTAAGAGATTGGAATGGTACGTCTGATAAAAGATGTGAGCAAGACTTGATTAAGTAAAACAAACGACTTCTATAGTCAGCTTTTTCCATATTTAAGCAGCATACTGCATTTTCATTAAATAAAACAAGGCATTTGTGGTTAGTGCTCTGCACTGCCATAGAGAAACCTTGTTTGGAATGCCAGATTTTGTCTCACTCCCCAGGCCAGCAGAAGCTGAAAGTGCTGCAGACAGCTCAAATCAGCCTCTGAAGGAGGGAACTGCATTGTTCCACAGAGATTCCTTGGGTTGACATAAGAGCTTCATTGATGGGCTCTAAGGGAAGCTCCATCCTCAGCTGCAGGATGAGAAACAAACTTAAACAGACCCAGCAGAGAGAAGCATGGAGGGGGCACGTGAACAGCAAGGCATTCATCAAAGTGGAAGGTCAGACAAGATATACAGTCATCTGTTCAAACTAGAGTTTTATTTTGTGTTTTCATACTTCATCTTATTTCTAACTTGTGCTTTTCATAATTAAAAATTTAAACCCACTGCATAGGCATCTTCACTCAGTGGAATTCTATACAGCAGTATCTTTGAGATCTCTAATAATAAGGGGCACACAGAGAATCCCATCAAGTTACAGGTAAAAAGTAATGTACCTTAGTTTTATTTGAGAAAATACAGCAGAACTAGAAGCCTTTTCTAGAATCTCAACCAAGGTTTGCAGCAATGTAAAAAGCATGTATAAAACAAAGGAAAAATGTACATAGACTATACCACCTATGTGCAACACAATCAAAAAGAAAATTCAAGTCATAATTCTCACCACTCCCATAATTCTCACTCATATTATGAATAAAATTCATTTCTGTGAAACTTCAGAAGTGACATATCAATGATTAAACAAATTTACAATATGCTGTGGTAATGATATATCATTCAACTCTTGTAAAGTCAGATTTTTTTTTCCCATTTACATTATGCCAGAAAAAAAGTTGGCCATTTCTACTATACTGATGAAGTTTCTCTTTTGCAATTTTTACATATTTCAAAAATGTGTACAAAAGTATGTCTATCAAGCAGAGGTCATTGTTTCTTTATTTGGCACTTGTACTGTTGTGTGCATTTAGCACGTTGTGAGTACTGTTTTGCTTTTCAACCAGAGTCTTCTTTAGCTTTAGCTCTTCTAACTTTCTCCACAACTCTTCACGTTCCAATTCCTTCTTTTTTTCTCTACAGAAAAAGTAAAATGATTAGACATGTCTAGGTTCT